TTTCCCTACTATAGCAGTTGGGGGGGAGGTCAAATTTAAGATGACCTTCCAATAATTAGATTTTATACCTAGAAAATTACAATATTTATAGTTTTTCCATATATAGAATCTAATTATTGGCAGGGGGTCATCTTAAATTCTAAGCTGTCTTGGATTCAGGTAAATATGATATTACAGTAAGGTCTCCTAAGTTCCCTAGTAAGGTCTTGGATTCAGGTATATATGATATTACAGTAAGGTCCCCTGAGTCAAGGGAGCTCACCGGCTGGGCTGGGGTGCTGGGTTGTAAGGTTCTGTGGGGCTTCTGCACCCTTGGAGGCTGGTGTCTTGCCCACAGTTCCCAGGGAGCTGTGGAGCAAGGCACTTGGCACATCTCTCTATCAGAGGCATCCAGGGAGCAGGGAGAGGTTCCTAGTCCTGGGGTCCGTGTGTACTGGGGGCCTTAAAAAAACACATGTGCAGCTTTGGCACCTGCAACTCTATCTGCCCTCTTCAGCCAACAACTGGCTGATTGTTGGTTGCAGCCCTGGGACCTCACCAGTTCTTGCCAAGCTGTGACACGCAGCATAGTTTCATAGTAGCTAGGGTCAGGAGGGACCTGAACAGCTCATCTAGCCTGACCCCCTGCCACAGGCAGGAACGAATGCTGGGTTCACAAGACCCCAGACAGGTGATCATTCAACCTCCTCTTGAATTTGCCCAAGGTATGGGCAAGGACCACTTCCCTGGGAAGTTGGTTCCAGATTTTGGCCACCCTAACTGTAAAATATTGCCTTCTGATCTCTAACCTAAACCCATTCTCCATCAGCTTATTACCATTGTTCCTCGTCACCCCAGGTGGTGCTGGGGAGAAAAGGCCTCTGCCTATTTGCTGTTGATCCCCTCTGATGAGCTTGTAGGCAGACACCAGGTCCCCCCTCAGCCTCCTCTTGCTGAGGCTGAACAGGTTCAAGTCCTTCAGTCTCTCCTCATAGGGCCTGTCCTGCTGCCCTCTCACCAAGTGGGTGGCCCTCCTCTGAACCCTCTCCAGCTGTTGAGCACAGCTTTCAACTTCTTCTTCTCACGTCTCTACACTTCATTTGACTGTTTTGTTACACAGGCTTGTGCTCGTGTATTGTACTTGGCGAAGTCTTTCATTGTACATGTGCTTTCAAGCAGCGGGCATTGCAGCAGATATTGCATAGTCTGAGGCTCTGTGCCACAGTCACAGGTGGTTGAACCAGTGGTATAGCCCCATTTCAGGGTTCCTTGGAGAGTCCAACTCTGGTGTGCAGGCAGTTGAGACATCTCCACCTTTGCCATGGTTCATAAACCCCTGATGGTAGACTCAGTCGCTGGAATGTCCATTTATTCACTGTCAGGTATTTCCTTCACCTTCTCATTCCACATCTCTAGTTGCGTCTCCTTGGGTGTGGCTTTAAGAGGCTGGGTGCTAGTGAGGAAGCTTCTGTGTGATTTTAGATGTTTGTGTGCTGTAGGATGGTTGTATAGCTGGTCATGTAGTTTTCAACTTGCCACTAGTAATGGTAGGAGGCTATGGGGTCAGATCCCATTGTGCCATTAAATGAATGTGTGCCAGGGACCAAAGTGAAACAGCTCCAGCAGAGGAAACTGTCTCTCTAATTGTCTGATGTTTAGGACACTCACTTGAGATGTGGGAAACTAAGTCCCAACCCTGAATCAAGCAAAGTAGGTAGGTGAAATCTGGTACTTCCTGGGTAAGTATCTTAACCACTGGAGTACCGGGGAATGTCTCTCTTGTTTTGATTGGAAATTCTAGCCTTGAACAAAGAAACCATTTGTACTGAAACTGATACAAAAGGTCCCATAACAAGTTTTAGTTTTTGATGAACCAACGTTTAGAATTAAACAGCATTTTATCAGAAAAATCTCCGCCAGCTCTAAGTATAGTTACTCTGTAACTTGGATTTATTGGTCAGCATGTACTGGGTCCTAAAGCAGAAGCAGAAAACCCACCCACATTAGTACAGTGCTGTGTGGAGGCCAGGCAGCACTGTGGAGATGAGATGTCAGACCAAGATGGATGTACTGCTTCCAGCTTGAGAAGTAGTGCGTTGTGTCTAAGCCCAGTGCTGCTTTGTGCCATGCCGATATAGCTGTAATTTCCAGTAATGTTCTCTTTCAGGTTCTATTAGCAGATGGTGGCAATGCTTGAGTTGCAGATGCTGTAGAGAGAACAACTGAAAGGTTCTGAAGTGTTGAAAACAGCTACATGTGAATCTTAAAACCTTTATTATTTTACATACACATTTGGGTCTTGAACAACTGTTTCTCCATGTATAGTAAATTAAGAAAATCCTGCTCTTGTATACCCAGGCTGCCCCACTAAGAGGTGAATACAGCTCTATGAAACTAAATTTAAACAAGTTGTTCTCCTCTTTCCCATTCCTGTTAGATAATGTAGTATTACACCATGCAACAGTGTAGTTCCCACCCAAATTCAGGGTTTTCTCCTCCTTACTGTTCCATTTCAATCACTGAACTTATTTGATACTTAGTGGTAAAAATGGAGAGCTTTTCACTGTAATGTGACATTGTGTAAACTTAATATATTAAGTTGTGATATGTCTGGCGTACGTGTTCTATTAGGGGTCCAGTTTTCACACAGCATGATTTCGTACCCTTCTATAATTCTGACTATACTACTGCTGAATCTGCGTTTTGTGTTTGGCCACAAAGAGATTCCTTGCTATTTTAAGCTTTTAACTTCAGTGTCTAACTAATGAACTCAGGTTCATTACATTCTTTCCCTTTCTGAGCAAATATTACACTTCCAGGCCACAGAAGCAATGCTTGGCTT